TTAACAAATGCAAATTAGCCCACCCCAAAGTAAATAATCAGCACATTAATCACATTATTATAGGACATACCATATTTATTGAGTGGGTGCTCCAATAATTGCCAATGTTTCTATTATTGTTATCTATTCGAGCACTCCATTTAATTTAATCTTCGAAAGTTAAACAAACTATGTGCCATCAGAGCTCTAACAACACAGCGGTTCACCAAATGTTGAAGACCTCGAACGATCTACATATGTAACTGTATATTTTTTTACCAAATAATTTTTGATATTGTGCCACTCTTTCTGAATAAATAACACCCAAACTGAGCAACACAAAGAGTCCCTAACTGAACATATCCCATCAAATATAAACTATACCTCCGATACGAACTATTCTGATGATTGTTTCTAATCTATGAAATTTTAATGTGTGCATATCTGTCTATTTGCTATCAAAATTTACAAATATTCACAAAATAATCGAAATATTTACGAATGTATTAAATATATATTCATTTGAATTCGTTAAAAAAGTATATATACATAAATAATTACACATACATAGTGCAGTGCTTTTTTTATATATACATAAAATAAATATTAATAAGTATTTCAAGTTGTTTGGCTATTTAGAAAATATGCGATTATTGTAACTGAATAATTTTATCAAATACTATTTATTAAATAAAATATACAATAAAAGACAAGAAAGTGTTTTCATTCATGTCATCTCACGATCAACAGTTAAGATAACTTTACATACCATACTTTACATACACCAGACGGTAAGCAAGTCTCGTCTTTCACTGTTTTATGCTGCTCTCCGCTGTCCAACTGGTTCAAGTACTTGTTGCGACGACCGTAGTCACTGGTTGTGTACTAGAGGCTTACAATAAACGATTAATAAAACTATCTAGAGCTGGTTTAGCACCGAGAATAAACACATTCAAGTTGGCTTTGGAGTAAGAGTCAGAAATTGTACTTCAAGTTAAAGTTTGCTTGGAAATTTTCAGTCAGAGAATTGAAATTAGTTACAACACTGTGCGCCATATAATTGTAAATATTGCTTTCTTGACATATTTCTTTACTGCAAGACAAAATTAACGTAAGGCCAAATCGTTCTCCGGACAGCTAGTATTTGATTAAATGATGTCTGTTTTTGTTTGCGAATTTCTATTTAAGATATTCATCGCGTATCTCTGCTTTCTTAATCTGGCCAATATAACGGCGAAGCGCCCTTACACGCTTACCCACCAGTATAAGACATTCTTGGGGATACCGTATGCGGCATACCAAGTCCTAGAGATCCACGAACGGGAGTATCAGTACACGCTACCAGCAATAGCTGCCGCATTGGCCTGCATGGGCTGTGATACCTTGCACTCGCTGTGCCTCCGATTTGTATCCTCCGAAAAGTTTCATCAGCGCTTGTGGAAGTGGATAATTAGGTTTTTCTGGTTGTCGAAGAGTCTCTGGCTGGCTTTGTACTTGATTGGCTTCGTCTCCATTCTGCATGACCATCATCAGCTTTACTTGGCCACTTATGGCTTGCAGCTGGACAATGCTGAAGATATGCTAACTAGTTTGAAATGTCAGTTCGTGTGGCAAACAACGGTCTTTATATTCGCAATTTTGTGCTGGATGGAGGAGGACACTCTAAGCAAGAACTACTACAAGCTATTGGTGTATGAGCATGACTATCACATCTAAAATTTGATCACTTGATATGTACACAAAAGTTTTTCAAATCGTATTTATGGTCTTCAAGCCTGAATGCCCTAAGTGAAGAGCCGTCAAGTGGTGTCCGGTTGCAATCCCTTCCATCAGCACAATTTTAAAAATGAATACGTGGCACTGCATTTGGTCAGCATTGCTGCTCGTATCGTGTTTCTGAATCTGAATCTGAATCTCTTATTTTATTCAAGACGGTCTTTTTTACATATTGACAACGCAGGCGCAAAGGCGGCGATAATCCAGTTGCCATTCGACCGTTCATAAGTACGCCGTCTTTTACATATGTAACCGAAAGTGTTGTAAAGAAAAGTATTTTAAATTTGTATATTTTAAATGTGAGTAAATGTAAGATTTGTTACACTTTTTATTCCTTTTATTATTTGTAAATATAAATGCCTAGCCGAAATGTATAGTTTTTTATGTATATATAATATAAATATACCTATGTTTTTATATAAATCAAAAGAAAAATCAAACACTTAAATGCTAAAGAGATTTCAATAATCGTCGCTGGACAGTTCTGTGTTGTTCTAAAAGCATTAAAAAAAAAAATGGTATAAATTGATATGAACAGTACACATAAAAACAAAATATGTAACAAATCACAGAAAATATGTAAACAAATTGTACTTAAAATCTTAATACTAGGCGCTCCCTATATACACATAAATCTATTCAATGGACTGTACGCTCTAGAAGTGTGGTAAGCAGACTTTGCCGGCAAACAGTTCAGAGACAACTGTTATCCACAGCGCTAGCACAAACATTATATATGATATGCCTATTTTAAACGTATTTGGCAGCTGATATGCTTGTCCGCCAATTTCCTCAATATGGAATCCCAGGGGAAACACAACCGCTGCCATACAGAACAGAACCATTGCAGCAAAGCCCACCCATCGAGCATATGGAATAACATTGCGATCCCAAGTGCTGGATGCCAGCAATATAATTGTCGTGGTGATACAAATGCAGCCGATGAAAATGCAAACGAGAGCGATTAGCCATTCCGGCTGAAGATCTGGAGTGTAGCAGACCTGTGGGCGGTTATACAGCGTCATGCAAGTCCACATGAGGCCTAGACGTATGTCCCCTGCAATATACAAAACAATAAATTATTATTGTTTAGCTTTTGTTGGTGTTTTAAACAGCGGCTACCAGCTTCCTCTGTAATTATCCAATCGGGCAGAGCTAGACTAACAATAGCGAACACATCGGCGGCCATGAACAGCGTAGCACTAATTGTCGTTAATTTGTCCATATTTATTGCACAATTTCCACGTTTTCAGTAAATTTATTATTTTCCAATTGTTTCTACTCTTTAAGTGACAATGTGACCAGACAAAGTGAAAACAAAAATACGGGTGGAAATCGAGCTGCCAACTCGGCTAACACCTATTGCCTTATTATCGAATAATCGATAAGTTTTAAATAAAATTCAAAATTTTTTATTCGCCCGTTCATCTAGAGTACATAGCCCTGGAATCATACCATGAAATAAAGGATAAAGATCCGATATAACATTTTATTTATTATCAAATTTGTTAAAACTTTCTTTAATGATTGTATATGGTTGAATATGACGTTTAAATTGATTACATGTACTTCCAACTGAAGCTTTGACAGCTATGTACACACATACATACATTCATATGTATGTATGTCAACATAGCCTTTGACAACTTATCTTTACTTTGCATCCTAGCCACGTTTAGCTATTTTAATATAGAGCAGCTATTAATAGAGCAGCAAACAATTGTCATTTAAAATTAACACGGTCGACATTTCTACGGTGCAACGTGTCTCAGGTGCGGTGAAAGCACTTGAAATACAATTACAATTACGCGTAAAAAAATTACATTCATACGAGTGTGCCAGGTGAATGTGCCATAAAGGAATTACGCTGACGTGTCCTTACCGTTAGGCAAGCTCCGTTTATCCTATGTTGTGGGTGTTATTCTAATACGAATTCATCGCTGTATAGCAATATCTGTGGTTTTTGATCTACACACAACGCATAATTCCGGCTCATATATTTAGTCCACTATTTGTTCCACTTTATTAGTATAGTGCGCTATAATTTTACCGTCGGTGGGTGGTGTTTCCGTCGCCTTTAACACAAGTAGAAATGCATAAAAATAATATTAACAGAAAACGTTGCATTCATTCAGTTTTCGACGCTGCAACACGACGCTCGCTTTCTATCGGTATCGCCAAACTCAAATTTCGTCGCGCCAGCGTCGGTGTCGTCGTCATCGAGAGTCGAAACCAAAATCAAACGGGACCTCCTGCCAAAAGAGAACGTTATGTTTATTATTTGTCTGTGCTTGAGAGTAACGAGTCGCGATTGTAAACAAACAAAATTATGCTTAATTGCCCAGTTCGCGGAAAACGCAAGAAAAAAATCTAAAGTTATGTATATACATACGTAAATACATATGTAAATACATACATACATACACATGTATGTACGTCGTAGAATTGGCGATGAACATTTCGAATATACATACATATTTATGTATGTGTGTATGTATGTGCATAACTTGCACATGTTAAGAACTAAGTTTATAAATTATTTCTTTAAAAAAATGAAATTTAAAACACGACGCTAACTGGAACAAATACATAGTACATATAATGTGCACCCTGAATAAACAAAATATTATAATAATTAAAGAATGGTGTCGAAATCGGCTTTAAATAATTTTCTTCTTATTATGTTTGTTGGAAGTGTTTAATGTGATGTTTACAAGGCTATTGTTCACCTAACAACAGGCATATCAATATTGAATTGATTAGTGCTTATTTTAAAATACAGCGCCCTAATTCTGCCTTATAAAGGTAGTTAACGGTAACAACCATATTAGAAGCGTATTATGATCTGCTGCTCAAAACGCTGACGTGTGCGAATTGGCGCGAATCGGTGTTTAGTTTGCAGCGCCAAGATACATACATATGTAGTAATTTGAGGGCGAGCAATGCAGAACATAAAGGTCGAAGCAAATTACAATAATTAATAATAATTTATTAACCGTTATATGAGATGTATATACATACATATGTATGTGCATATTTATATACATACATAAATATGAAAAGCTGAACTTACGTCGTATATTTTTACTTTTTACTTTTAGCGTGGATGGGTAAGTGCGAAGCTTGCCAAGTCCATTGTAAACAAAAATCAGATTTCCAGATCGGAGAGCCTGCAATTGAATTAGGTTCGCTATTAAATGAGAGTTTTTTTGTAAACATTGATAAGTGCTATAAAAGACAAACGCATGGAGTCGTATAAGAGCAGTCGTCAAACGGATATGGCGGCGGGCGAATCAGATTTTGAGTCTGAGGCAGAGTCTAATTCAAGCCATGAAGCAAACATTGGAGAGCTGACAGACCTGGAGTAAGTCGTATATAAACTCCCACTGCCTGCGTATGCAAAAGAAATAATAATTATATTTTTTGGCATAGACAAATCAAAAAAGATGACAAGGCGAAGGAGAGTCGGCGTGAGGAGCGACCACTTGTTCTGGAGGAAAGGCACTCACTTTCTATGTAAACATTCTAAAGGGAATTAAGTGCGCAATAATTTACCTAACTATACTTTCGCTTTTATCTTTACCCAGAGCCGAAACAAAGAAGCGTCGTGCCAACGTCTACTCCAAAGATAATCTGTTTATACCCAAGGAGTTGGCTCGGGGTGAGGTCTATCTGCGCCAATCTCAGTGTTTGGATCAAATTAGTAAAAACCGTGATTACTGCATGAGAATGCTCAAATTTCCGGTTGGAACTGGTCGAGCGCGTTACGTAGCCCAACAAATGAAGAAGAAAAAATCAAAGAAATTAAATGGAGTTAAAAAAAAACTACCCCATGAGAGAACGTCAAAGGAAAAATGCAAGCTCTCGGTAGACATCGGCAATGAAGAGTTGTACATGAAGCAGGAGCCGATCGAAAGCCCAGAGAGAGGAAAGTTTGATGACATGACCCAGGTTCTTAGTACGCCCAGCCTCAACTTGGAGCATACGAATAGAAATCAGATGCACAGCGATGAAGAGGACTGCATCGTACTGGAAGAGATGCTCAATTCTTCTTGGTCCGACTCTAAAGAGGATGGCACCGAGGAGTTTATAGAGGTTGTCTCCAATCGTCAACTGAGTCAAGCTGCGAGCTTAGAGTTAAAGTGAGCAAAGAATGTACCTTTGAAGTTTGCGTGTGTGTATGTACCTAATTTAAACTACTTGCAGGCCCAAGAGCGAAGATGAGCTGCTGGTGGACAAGCAAGAGCCGTTAAAAATACCACTCGTACGTTGGCACAATCCGAACGGGAATGAGGAGGATATCAAAATGGGTGTTGTGGAGGAGGTGGACCACATGAGTTTATCGGCCAATGTGGGCATCAATGGGGTAACAACAGCGGCCGCAGTTCATATAGAGCTACGAGAGGAGCAGCTCAATGGAAAATTTAAGCATTCTACAGATGTATATGTAGATCAATACCAGATACTAGGAACTTTTAAACAACAGCAAGTGGAGCATACAGAGGATACAGAGGTACAACAACAATTCAACGAGTCTACTGAAGATCAACAATCGGAGGAGCTAGAAGAGTCGCCGCAGCAGCAGCTGCCAGCTGAAAGTATGCAATATATTCCGAATAGGAACTATGCAATGTCCGCTGAGCATGCCACAACCTCAAGTTATACGCCTATTGAGGCACCTCACATGACATCGGGTATTATCTTGCCGACCCTTTACCCTGCCAATCAACTGCAATCTACTAGCGTCAACAACAACAACCTGTTGTCGAATGAAAATATGCAACAGCAATTTATAGAGACACCCGATTATATGCATCATTGGAATAAAGATAGCTTTGATAAGTGTAATTACACGCGGCCAGCTGCACAGCAACGGTTGTCCCATAACTGGCAGCAGCAGCAACAGCAACCGTTACATGACTGGCAGCAGCAGGTGGAGGCGCAAGCTCAGGCTCAGGCTCAGGCGCAAGCTCAGGCGCAGGCTCAGGCGCAAGCGCAAGCTTTGTGGCTACAGCAACAGCAACAGCAAACTTACTATCAAGAGAAACACTTGAAAACGAGCCAAAAGGAGTTGAGTCAACTCAATGCACAGTATAAGAAACTGAAGTGCCATGAGGATAAGCAGCTCAAGGAATTCAGCAAGGCACTCAAGGAGATCCATGCGAATCGGCTGACTTGTGAACGCGAGCATGCTGAATATCATAGAAAATACATGATTAAAATGATGGAGAGCAAACAGCAAGAGGAGAGTATTCAGGCCCATAAGAACGAAATAAAGAAGCAGCTTGATGATGAACTAAATAGTCTGAAAGAGCGCATTGCTAACAAGCAGCGCCAGCTGAACGAAGACACATGGTCATTGCAATGGCAGCGACAACAATACAAATCCCAGCAGCAACAGATGCAGCAGCAGCAGAAGATGCAGCAGCAGCAACAGATGCAGCAGGAGCAACAGATGCAACAGCAACAGCAGATGCAACAGCAACAGCAACAGCAGCCACAGCAACTCGTATTTAGTCAACAACAACAACCAGAGCCTTTCCTTCCACGTTTGCCGCCGCCCGCCCATCAGCCACGTTTGCAATGCTTTCAAGATGCATTTGCACAGTGCGTGGCCAGGTCGATTTCGCCAGGCTCACAGCTGAACGAACAGCGCCGAATCATACCAGCACCGTCGCCAGTTGCCTACATGCAGCCGCCGGTGGCAGCTCGCTCAAATGAATGCCAATCCTACAGCGATGGCATTCTGCCACAGCGACACACTCTGGGCAGATGCAACACTCCGCATCCACTTCGAGCCACATCGAATGGCCTTGTGAATCCTTGCGGAACAAACTACCCCAGCTTTGCTTCAGCAACAACCACAAGCAATGTAATGGCAACTGGCCATTATGTTACGCTGCCTGAAACTCGGACTCCTGGTGGCCAGTTGAATCCGGGAATCGAACAAACTGCGATAACGCCCATTATGGGCAATTATGTCTCCAATTACTCCACAAATTAAACGATATGGAGGCTAACAATTCCTAACTATAGACTAAACATAGTTAATTACTCTGTTTATTTGTGATCTATAATTATTTTGGATGAGAACTGTGTTCCTTTTACAATTAATTATTATTGCGAGTATTTTTATATATGTGTACATATGCATATGTATATTTATGTTAATATTATTTTAAGCATCAACCTGGATTTATTTGTGTATATTTGGTTACAGATATTCACACTTTGAAAGCTTTTTCCATTCATTCATTCGATTAAGGTAATAAATAATACAGAGAATAAGTCACGTTTAGCTTAAGACATGATGAACAAGATAAGCTCCTGCTCCTGTTTCGCCCACTGTGGGCGTATCAAACATTGAACAACATTGATTTTTTAATAAATTAAATTGTTGGACCATGAATGCATGCGAATCAGTCGAATGTGTCCGATTTTAGTCTAAGTAATTGAATTTTATAATATTGTTATTGCATGGAACTGTGTTATTTTATTGAGACTAGATTATGTTAATATTCATTAAAATAATGGGATTTACGTTGAGATTATTTTGCCATGGCTTTCTGAATTGTTTAGGTAGTGCGTTAACTAATTTAGAAGGCCTATGAGGTGCTGACCAGAGTTTTTGCTGGTTAATTGACTAGCTTTATGAATATGAATCTTAAAGATTTGAATTATTTACATATATATTTAATTTGCAAGATCAGTTGGGAGTTACTTTTACCTTCTGAAGTGGGATTTTTGACAGCATCTCAGCATATGCCCCTAGAATCTCTGGTTCCATTCACCGCTTTGCCGAGCGCCCGCCGGATAACGCCAATAAGAGCAGCGCGGATGATGCCAGCCATTGTTAGCACACTCGTTTCCGTTACAATTTCCAGTGGTTCTTGCAGGACCATATGCGCTAGCCCGTCCATAGGTGGTGGCATTACCATATGCACAAGCAGTTGCATTCCCGTTTCTATTTGCCATCGTGCATCCATTGGTTGTTCTGTAAGCATCTTTACTATCATATCTGTTCCCACTTCCATTACAATTTCGACTTCCAAAGAAAGTTCCACTTCTGTGTGCAAAGCCATTTCCAGTGCTCTGTGAATTTCGGTTTCTATTTTCCAATGCATTCCCCATCCCAGTTGCTTTGCCATTGCAGTTTCTGTTCGCCATGGAATTTGCAGTTCGAGCTCTGCAGCCGGACAGCCGATGCGAAAAACAAGTCTCCGACTTTTGAGACTTTTGACCTGTGCTCGCAGTCGTTGCATTGGAGGCGACTCTCCTGCATATCGATTTGGGAGGAGTTGCTGGCGGTGTTGAGGTACACGGAGCGGATATCTCCATTGGTGCCCAGGTTGCAGATTTTCTAGGTGTTTCTGTTGAGCACCTGGCGAGCGAGGACATACTTGGCATGGGCAAGCTTTGTTGATTCAGCTCCTTGTTTCCTTGTGTGGCACGCTCTTGGGGCAGGACTTCTAGGATAAACATTGGCTGCATTGGGTTCGTGCAGGCACCAGTCCCGTGGACTTCCATAATCCGACAGGGCAGGTTAAAGCTCCTTCCAACCGTTGACGGATCACCCAGAAAAGTTGGTATCAGCTGGAATTGGCATGGCTGCTGCTGAGGCAGCTGTTGTTGTTGTTGCACTGGTTGTCTGTGCACCTCCTGCTGCTGCTGTGGACATTCGCACTGTGCGGCTTGTTGCGCCTGCTGCTGTTGTTGTTGCAGTGGCCACGGCTGTTGGCCTAGAGTTGGGCACAAATTGCAAAACGAAGTCAGTTGATGCGTGCACGGCACAGGCGCAGATTGAATGCTGCCAAAGAAAATGGGCAATTGCAGATGAAACTGTGATGGCTGCATCTGCTGCAGGGATTGAATGTTATGCACCGCAGCGTGCTGCTGCGGCTTTTCGGTCTGTGGGCGATCCGTTTGGCAGTCATTCTCAAACGGCGTGTACTGGCTGTCCTTCGGCAGTGGCTGCTCTTCCGGGCACGGCTGCACCTGATCGGCCTGACACAGCAGTGATGCCTCGAAGGGGCCTTGGATGTGCTGAGAGGAAAATGGGCTGCCCGGCGGACTATTTGTTGGCATTGATGGGTTGCCCGTGTCGAAGTCGTAGCAATTGGGCAGCGGAACATTGCAGTCGAAACTTTAAAAGAAAGATGAAATGTCCATTAAAAAGCTGTATTGGAGAAGGTGTTGCTGCGGTACCTTAAGCCCTCTGCAGTCTCGGTCACAATGCATACGCCTAGCTGGGCTGAAACTGCCTCGAGTCCAGACGCTGGTATCAGAGCAAAGCCCCTGTTGACATTTTGCTGTTCTGGCTGTTGCTCTTGTCCTTGCTGCTGCTGCTGCGCCTGTTGCAGCTGCTGTTGCTGCTGCTGCACACCATTTGAGCCCAAGACTCGGCCGGCTGAGGTCGCATTGATGTGATGCTCACAGCTCTGAGTACAAAACATTTCTGCACGCGATCTCTAACCCACTTACACGCCCACTTCAGTTGCAACAAAGGACTGCGAGGCAGTTGTGACAAATCACTTCTGTACATACATATATTTACCTAATTTTGCTCATTGTAGGTCGACAAATACTATCGATAAAAAAAATCGGCCTATTATGTTGGAAAACTCAACTATCTCTGGTCAAGTAGCCTGGAATTTTTCACAGCCTGAACTCATAACAAAATCCAGATGTAAGCTTCTAATAGCAAACTTTACATACACATATACACATAACAAAAAACTTTTTTTTTTCGGATCCCAAAAAATCAAAAACTTAAGAATGTCCGCCGCGGCGCATGTGTCCAATGACTCTGACGTCAGACAATCGAATCAGAATAATGGTAAACGCAGCTTTATGATCACAGTGGACGATAACGGTAAGATCGAAGTTCGGCCCAGCGACCAGGTTGAGCAAGTCCGAAGCCAGAAGAAAACGCACAACGGGTCTCCCAAGTCGTCAAAGAGGGGGAAACAGCGCATACGCATAGCGCTGCTCGAGGAGAGTTCGGATGGCGAGACGGACAACAGTGGGGAGACGAACGACATCATCAGCATTGATGCGCGCTCCTTGGAGACAATGCACGATCGCTTTGTCAAGAGCTACAATAAGAAGCTGCGCGGCAAGCCCAGCTTTGTGGTGCTCGAGGATGCGCTGATTCGCAAGCGGGTGGAGGAGACGCTGCATGCACCCAGCAGCCACTCGCATGCCGAGCAGCAGACAACGCCCGCCGATATGAGCGCCCACATGGGCTCCCAGACAGACGAGTTTCTGCTGCAGTGCGCGCTGCGAGCGACCACGCTCAACAAGGGCAGGAGTCGAGGCTGCCAGGCGACAGACGTCAGCTGCACATTGCCGGAGTGCACCTGCAGCCAGTGCACAGCCCATAGAAATAGCACCAATGCGACGTCGCTGCGGCGACTGAGCGAGATGTGCGCCGCTCAGCTGGCCAAGCTGAAGCAAACGCCAACTGTTGCTGAGAGTGCTGCGGCACTCAGTGGGCGGGAAGAGGCGGGCACGACGCCACAGGTGACTATCAGCTTCCTGCCAGTCGCCACACCAAAAGCATCCACAATTAATGCCCAGCAGCAGCCTCCAAAGCAGCAGCAACCACAACAGTTCCTGCCGACTGCAAGTTGCGCTCACATCTGTGCAAGCTGTCCATACATGCCATCCGCCGGTAGCTGCAGCAACTGTTGCAAGTGCTGCCACTACTTCCAGCAGCAACAATTTCAAGCCTATGCGCAGCAGCAACATCCTGGCCCAGCAGCAACCTATGGCCATTGCTGCAGCAGCTGCTGCTTGTTGAAACCAACGATGGCTCAAACCATGCTCGGCTTTGGCCATGCACCGGCGATACCTGGCCATTGCAGCCATCACATGTTGCCGTCGCCTGATTCATTAGCATTGCAACAGAGATTGCAGCCAATAGGATGCTGTACGGCGCCTTGCCTGTGTTGTAGAACGCCAACGGTCAGCATGACCAACTGCAATACGCCGCACTGCTTACACTGCCCGATGCAGCCCCATTCTTGCTTAGCCCCTCGCTGCAACGATTGCCAGCAGCAACAGCTGTCGCAGAAACCAAAGCAGCCCCAGCAGCCCCAGCAGCCTCAGCAACCACAGCAACCACAGCAACCACAGCAACATGGCTGCATCTGCGACAAGAGCTGTTCAGATGACAAGCCATCAACTACGGCAGAGTTAAAGTCATCTAAAAGGCAGTTGCAGCGCGAGAGTTCTAAAACTCCATCCAAGGAGGCTACACAGACGAGCCCACAAGGGGATATAGAGGCGGATACACAGGCGGATATACTGGCGGACCCACAGGAGGATATAAACGATGATGCGCAGGAGGAGGCGGGAACGGAACTGCATGCCAACGTATCCCAAATGACAGTCAGGCATATGAAGACCTACAACAGCAAGCGCAAGAATGAGCAGAAGTTGGACACGTCGCCGCAGCAGAAGGGTAACAGCGCTCGCAACAGGGCGAGCGGCAGCTGTGCGCCTGGAAAGGTATTCTTGGCGCGCTTTGGACGCACCTGCTTGATACTCAAGCCCTCCTCATCCACAGCGCCGCCACGACTGCTGACCAGACGCGTCTGCCGCTACACCTGGTCACACAAATTGGAAAAGAACTAAAATAAAGCAAAGGTTGATCCGAATTTTCTGTTTTCAATTTATTTCCTAATCACAGTTGGAGTTGGAGAAGTGTCTGGGCATGCACGGCACGCCATACTTGGACAAGGTGTGCTGATAGAAGGACTCTGTAATATTTCTGGCAGCTCCACTACGTTGCGTATCGGGCGGATGGACTGGCTGTGGCATCACTCTCCAGCTCGAAAAGCATTGCTGTTGCGGCTCATAGTCAGCTCGCAGTTGTTGATAATATTGATCCAATGTTGCATAGCCGTTGCTCCGTTGGTACGGCTGAGCTTGCATCTGTTGCTCCTGCGGCAACCGTCTCGGCGGTTGCTCCTGCTGCAACATTTGGGGTCTTTCTCTTCTATCTACAGCATCAGGCTTCTTGTTTGATTTCAGCTCGTTAATGTCAGCGACGCCTCTGCTTGTCCTTCGCATCTTACGCATTTTCATAAGCACGACGACATCTTTATCCTTTGCAACGGCTTGATTCCTCTGATTGTCCCTTTCATCTAAAGGTTTTCTCTGATTTGAACGTCTCTCAACATCACCATAAACGGGTTTATTTGGCAATAACTCCCGTTTTTCCGGTACTTTGGATGCATAACGACCATTTTGCGATTGAATTTCTTGTCTGTCCTCAGTTTGGGAATAGGAATCTCTTGTATTTTGGAAATTATCTAAACATCTGTTCATTGGGAATTTTTGACAAGAAATACAACAATTTGTCATCGCTGAACTATTTTGTGATCCCATCTGATTTGTGACGTCCTTTGAATTTGTGTTTATAGTGGACTCGAACTTGTCTGAAGCCTGATCTGATTTTTCTAAAGCCTCTCTTGCACTTAAGGACATTTGAAAGTCACTCTCCTTATCGACTTCGGTTGATCCTATGGTAATAGTGGATTCATACATGACTGAAGCCTGATCTGCTTGAAAGTCGTTCACTTTATCGACTTCCGTTGACCCGATCTGATTTATAACTTCCTTTGAGCCTGTGCCCATAGTGGATTCATATTTGACTGAATCCTGAGCAGCTTTTGCTCGAGCTTCACCTGCATTGAGGGATGTTTGAAAGCCGATCTCCTTATCGACTTCAATAGACGCTTCATTCGGCTTAATAACACCTGATTTATCAACCTCTGGACTCTGGCTTGAATTATCAAAACCCTCTGACGGTCGTTGACTGACGCTGTTTAAAATATTTGGTAACTGACTCTCATCAATCTCTTGCCTATTTTTGGGGAGCAGTAGCTTACATTATGAACATTAAAAGTAAACGACTCCTAACTTACCATTCATCTGGTTGACAAATGGTGCCCATGCCTTCATCTGTTCCTCCGTTCAGCGGAAAGGGCAAAAGAAGTAGTGGAAGTTTTGAACTGCAGATAAAAATCGGAATTAAATTCTTTATTTATTTACTTATTTTTGTTTTCAAATAAAGACTTACTTTGACTGCGTCTGATTGCAACATTTTTTCATGTCTTCCATCATTTCTTCTATATTTGATTCATTCAAGTCTTGAAGATCACACATCAAGCTCGCCTTGGAGTCAACGTCCGCCTTGCTGGGGCAACGAGTAATTGCCTCCACATTATATTCTACCAAAGTGGGAGGATCTTCACTGTTCTCCTGTTTCAATCGAGATAGCTTAAGATTCAGCGAATTTTTCACGAGATGACATTTTCTACAATCGCTGTTCACTGAATACAGGTCAACTTCATCATTTGTCTGGCATGATGAATGGCATTGCTGGGGCATTTGGCTCATTGACTTTACTGATTTATCTACACTTGATCTGTCTGCATTGTGTTCCTTTTTCCTCTCGCCATGGATTGAGTTCTTTGAATTATCTGTGTCAACAATGCGACTATTTCCTACATCTTTAATACATTTCAAAATCTCTTGGGTAGCTAAGAATGTTTTTTCACATTGCGAGTTGCACCTGCGGACCAGCTGAGCGAAAAGTTTCTCCGACTCCTCGGATTGCTTTTGGTTATTTGTGTCGTCTTCATTTGTCTTTGATTTGTCATTGACATCAACATTATTTATTATTGGTTCTTTAATGGAAGTCAATAGCTCCTTAAGAGCTTCAGATTTGATTGAACTTTCTTGTGAGCCTTGGAATGATGATAAACTCTTATTTTCGGGTTTCTCTTGCGAAAGTTTACTGAGGCTTCTTCGAGTTTGGGGCTCACCAAATGATGGATCTGTTATCTGCTCACAACTTGATAGCTTAATGTGAGCTGCACAACATGAAGGATTTGCCATCTGCTCAGAGCTTGTTATGTTAATTTGAGGTCCACCACATGAAGGTTCTGCTATCTGCTTAGAAGCTAATAGCTCTCGATTGATTGCTATCTTTTCCTCAGATAATGTAATATGCGATGATTCTTCTTCCGTATATGACGATGATATTGTCTTATGCTGCTTTTTGTTAGTTTTCTTACTCAGAGTCGCAGGAACTGGGATTGGCCAATTAAACTTTTTATTATTATTGTCTAAATTCGAGTTATCGGACTGAATCATTTCTTGACTTTTTATTTTGGGTTCCAGTGTTACCACAGAGTTTGGTGGTGTCCGATCAGCAGTTTTCTTCAGGTCTAATATACTGGACATGTTTTCATCATTGTCTGAGTTCCAATAATTCAGATTCTTCTGTGGGGCCTTTCTACAATAACTGCAAATTCCATACTGTGTTGAAAATTCCTTCGGCTGCCTTGCAAATTCCTTCGGTTGCCTTCTGAGCTCATTTGGTTGTTTTGGTAATTCCTTCGGTTGCCTTGGTAGTTCCTTTGGTTGCCTTGGTAATTCGGTCGGTTTTTTCGCTTTTCTCTTTTTCTTTGAGGCATTCTCTGAAACAGTCGACTTTTGCTGTTTAGAATCCTTCTTTGGAAGATTACTTGGGTCTGGAGATGAGTCGGCAGCAGCAAGGGGCGGTGTTGCAGGAGTTGTACCTCCAAGCGGCGTAATAACTGGGCAGCATCCCACCGGACACAATGTGATGCACAATTTGCAAGCCGATTCAATCGATGGTGCAGGAGAGGACATGTGGTCAGCTGCCTTAACCAAGGCCCCGGCACATTGATCACGCTGTGGCATCGTTATATCGCTTGTTGCGAGAAACTTCGTGCTCATGCTACAAAAGTTTTCAATACATTTGGAAATGGGGATGCAAACTCTTATAGGCACATTGCAGTCAAAGCTATTTCAGAGAACAGAGCTAGTGTTATTAAATGCAACCAACTAAACAGCACTCTCAATTCTTACCACATATCAGTCATTGGTCCAGGCTTTACAGGTGGTCCGGCTGTCGGCACAGAAGGAGGTGGAGATTGAGGAGCTTTCCTCTTCGGTTTCCTGGGCTTCGCCTTTGGTTTAATCTTCTCCAGCTGCTCAGTCTTCGATTTATTCTGCTTTTGCTTGATTTCTTTGGATATTTGTGGTTGCTTTAATGAATTAGAGTTGAAGGGAAATCCACAAAAACGTTTCTTATTTAAATAGCGCTTCAAATCTTCGAAAAGTTTTAGATTATTGCCAGATGCTGTAGGTTTATTATTATTATTATTTATTGTCTTGATTGGGTTTTGCGTTGCCATTGCTGGAGGCTTTCGGCTAGATCTTCTCATAGATTCCAAAGCGTTCGATCGAGTGTTAAATAAAGGCTTTTCATTAGTTTTTGTATTTTTGTCAGATGTCTCCAATCTATCTTTGTGAGATGCCGAACAGAAACATCTGTTGGACAGCGGCAACGTTTCACAACCACTTTTGGAATTCACCTCTGCCGACTCTCTGTTAGAATTTGTTGAAGGAAACAAACTACATCCGTTTGCTGAACTGGTGTCTGCTCGTCGTTCTTTAGGAATTCTTAGAGGTGTCGACTGCGAGTACGTTCTCGATGCGGTCCCAGCTGGTCCTTTAGTAGACCCTTTTAGCGATGACAAGCACGAGAACGTTTCCGCAGCTGGCTCCACTATTTTTCCATTGCAAACTTTTGTTGGTGTCGACCTACACCAAATTACCGAATCGATCTTCTCTGTTTTCTCGCCGAGAGCCCTTAGAGCTGTTATCTTTGAACCAATTTGTGAATTAATCTCTATTAATCCTTCTGTAGCTGTAACATAATACGAAGCACCTTTCACCAGCTCTCCGTTAAGAGTTGTATGATCAGACGACTTAGACCCCATTCTTGAAGCGACCCCCACTGATCCCTTTGTAGACTCTACTCGCTCTGACGTCTTGGACTGCATTCTTGAAATGCTAAATATTTCTGCGTTGGGAGCTGTTAGACCGGACCACTTCGTCGACCCCTTCTTCGAGTTGGCTGTTAGACCGGACATCTTAGAACCATTTTTTGAACCGACCTCTACCACTTCTCCATTGGGCGTAGTTAAGCCGGACGTCTTAGACCCCATTCTTGAAGTAATTCCACCTGAACCATTTGTTAGGTATTTCGGTGGTGCCGACATGCACCTCATGCTCGTAATGGGTTCTACTCTTTCTTCACTTAGGCCTGTTAGACGTGACGACAGAGATCCTATATTGACAGCATCCTCCACTAAGTTTTCGCTGGGAGCTGTAGGAGTTAAGGCGGGCTCCGATGACGCCGCGTTCGAAGCGATACTTTTTAATTGCATCTCTCTTTCGTTTACAATTTTAATATCAACAGATTCAGATGACTTAGGGACTATGCTCTCAGTGCAAATATTTGTACATTTCATTGCATTAGACTCCTTAGAATTTGATAAACCGTCAACTTTAATCGGTAATGCAGTTAATGTTCGTGTTTCTCTACAGTAACATTTCGTCGTCTTTTGCTTTGTCGATGCGTTATTAGAAATAGTTTCGGGGCATTTAGAAGACATCTGTCCGTTTTTAGAGAAACTATCCGTGTGGCTTGCCATCCGATGTGCATAAGACTTTTGCCTGAGGAAGCAACAGCGGGAGCGGTTACACCATTCATGTGGATAGGAACCTATTGCATTCGAATTACACATTTTCTGTAAAAAGTCGTTCCAACTAGCTTTTTAACAAAAAATCTATAATTCAAACAAAATATGCCGGTAATCCTATTCACATAAGCAAAAAGTTCACAAATCGAAAGGAAAACCCAAAATTTTGTACCGAAAAATGTGAAATATTTTAAACGATTGACAGCATTATCAATTCATAATGTTTAACGGCTTTATCCTCATGATAAGGTAATTCTTGCTGGAATGTAAATAACTTTTATTTATTACTGGACAAAATATTACTGGACCAAAGCGAGTCTGTAATGTACCGTACCTTATACACAGGGCCGCTGTTGCGCTGCCCTCTTTTCTGTACACGGCACGCTACCTTACGAACTCCTTTTAGTGGGTGAAGCCAGTCGATTGCAAGCTCAGGCCGCCCTATTGGCCACCACCCTGCCAGCAGCGTGGCATCATGAAACGCATCTTGGCATAACGCTGCCGGCAACAGGGTTGTCTATACTGATTGCCCGGTAGCTGCGACTGTGGCTGTTGCAGCTGAAATTGTTGCTGTTGTGAAAATGGCATTGGATTCTGTTGCGGCGTACAGATTCGTTGATGTTGCGCTAAGCCTGCTGCATTGAAGTACGGCGTGAATGGCTTATTTTCATCGTTCATGGCATAGAAACCAAAGGCTAACACCGGAGGTTGCATGACACACGGCCCTGCCTGTCGTGGCGTTGTCTCTTCAATGTCCGCTGACAGTGGAGCACTTCCATCGATTTGATTCGCCCTCTCAGTGCAACAGGCGGTGTCGTCTCTGTCATTCATCGTACGAGGCAGCGCTCGCATTCGTGTTGGGGCGCAGACCCTGTTCAATTGCATCTGAACCTGATCGATGTAAGCCTGAGCCTGTTTCATTTGAGTCTGCAGCTGCTGGGCGAGCATTTCCGTCAGACCAGATGGGTTACTCTGCACCGGCACCTGGTGGAGCACTGGCACCGCCGGACTCTGATGGCTGGCCATGTTGCAGAATGAGCTGGGCTGCATGTGAGTGCCCGGATAGCCGTTGTGTTGCTGTGGCATGCACGTCGGCCTGCTCCAGCCACAATTGCTGCACGGACAGCCACTGCTCATACTGCTGTTTGACTGGGCCTGGCACTGCTGGCATCCGCAGTTCGTTGGCTGGTTCGCATTAATGCAGGAAGTCTTTCCCAGCTGACCGGGCGACATGAATGATGACATGTAGAACGTTGGAGCGGGTCGCCAGAAGCTGCCTTGCTCCAAATCAAGCTCCTCTAAGTTCCCCTGGTTCATGTCGGCACTGTCAAAGCTATACAGGGATATCCATGAGTATATTTCCAGATTCAAATTACATACACACATTTACCATATATATTTCTCCTCGGTGAGTTCACAAGCGGCTACCACACGCATCTCATTTCCGATATCTTCATGCACATTCACTGGATTTTTGGGGTCCTGAAATCCTGGGCATTCGCATTTTAGTGTTTGACTAAAATCCAAATTATTCACCACTGGATCTTGAGCTGCTGTTGCATCTGCTTCTGCTTCGGTTTTGGTTTGGGGTTCGGCTTTGAATTCAACGACGTCAGCGGCTTCGGCATCCGCCTCGTTATTCTCCGCCTCGGCATTCTCCGCCTCGACATTCTCTGGTTCTGCAGCGTTATTTATAGGTTTCGTCTGCTGCTCTAGTTCCTCTCTTTCCTTGCTAGTGATTGACGCCTTCGAAGAGCGCATTTTCCTCGCACTCTGTGTAGTCGTTAAGGGCTTTCTGCTCTTTACCTGTGTATCCACCATAATCAGTGGTAACCCATCTGATACCAACATATCCTTTGAGCCGGGTTTTTCCAGCGTTGCAAAATTATTTAGCTTTTCTTCCCGTTTTTTAGTCAGGTCCCTTTCGTTGTCTTTCGGACCAAAACTCCGACTTATCTCTAACGCCTCAAAGTTATTAATTGGTAGTTGCATATCCACCACATACGGCGCTTCTGTGTGGGGCTCCGGTTGTGGTCTACTCTTGGGTGCCAAGAACACATTTCTCGTGGAACTTCTGAGTAGGCGACGTCGTTGAGGCGAACTGCTCCTGCTTCTCGACGGGTATTGTGGGGATAGAAATCGGTTCGTCTGGCCGGCCATGCTCCTTACAGGTGCACGGCTTCGACTGGCTAACAAAGGATTATCAGCTAGGCAGCTCTTCTGGGCATAGTGAGCAGCTGCGTTATACCACATTGGACTACAACTTCTTGCTTGGCATCCGCTAACATTTCTGCGCATTTTGTTGGCCGCATGCAACCGAATTCAGCAACACTTCCGCCCTAATTTATTTGTTTACCATATTACAGAATTTCAATAAACAACTTTGATGTGTTGGAAACATATTTTGAAATGTCAACAGGTCAATCAGACGCACGTATGCAGAATGGCTAACCAACACAGCCTATTGTGAATACAGCGAAGAGTGCTCACATTCCTATATTCCATATGCACTAGAGCTCTCATAGATCATCGGCTGTTGTATAATATACATATATGGCATTTCTATATAGATATGTTAATTTGGAATGCAATTTTGTATGCATATACTTGATTATCTATTTCTTAGCATTAATAAGAAAATGATTTACAGTTAGAATTTAGATACATAAATATTTCTTATAGTTATAATTATCAAGACTTTTTGAGCTGTTGAAACATCTGTAGCATTATGGAAACAAACCTTGATCTAAACATCAAATATTTATTTATTTTTGTCTTAGGAAAAAATTTGTGTTAATGTTTCTTATAATGAACTTTTAGGTGGACAAATTGCTTTTAAAATGTGTGCCTGTTATACGGAGAAGTGAGTTCTTAAAGTTCATTGATTTTAGAAGTATGCCGTTTACTTGATATATAATTTTTTATTTATTCGTTTTTATTTTTTCTATTAAGTAATCTTAGTTGTCCTTATCAAGATAATAGGTAAGTCAATGTCTTCATATATCTCTTCTTTTAAATTATATTGGCCAATTTTACTGCTTTAGCTTTCCGGACTGTGGTGGGCCTCCTTATGAAGATAATAATAGGTAAGTCTAACTAGATGCTGTTCTTTTTACTTATATTCGCCAATTTTTTTTTCATTTTAGCATTCTGAATCCTGCTGAGTCTCCTTATCAGGATCCTAGGTAAGTCAAGTTCTACGGGAATCCGAGGTTCCTTTTGCTTATATCTGTCAATTCTCTTGTTTTAGCTTTCTGAATCCTGTTGGATCTCATCAAGACAATATGTAAGTCACATTTATACTCTAATGTTATCGTGTAACTTATATTGGTAAATTTTCTTCTGTTAGCATTCTGAATTCTGGGGGGTCTGCTAATCAAGGTAGTAGGTAAGTCATATTAAACTGCAATTTATTGCATTACCAATATTGCTAAACTTTTCGCTTTAGCTTTATGAATCCTAGCGGAGGGTCTCCTTATCAAGGTGGTAGGTAAGTCAAATTCTACTGCGGCTATTTCGCAAAACTCACATTCATTAATTTTTCCTTTTTTCAGCTTTCAGAATTCTGGTGCGTCTCCATATCAAGATAATGGGTAATTTAAATTCCTTTGTATTATTTTCTTATAACTTATATTGGTAATTTGTTTGCTTTATCTTTTCGCATTCCAGTGCGGATCCTTTTAAAGATAATGGGTAAGTCAAAATCCATTGCAATATTTTCTTATAACTTATGTTGGAACATTTTTTTTATTAATCCTTATGGATTCTAGTGGGTCTCCTAATAAAGACAAAGGGTATGTGTAAATCTTATGTAATGATTTCTAGTTTCTTATATTTATCACTGATTTAGGTTTCCCCAGTCCAATGCGGCTCAAAAGAATTACGATGAGATAAAATTCTCAAATGTGGTTGTGCCCAGCTTTCTGGCCAATCGTGTGAAACCAAAGCCAAAAGCAAAGCCTAAAGCTTGTCCCAATAAAAAGAAGTGTTGTCAGTGCAAAGATGTTGGATGTAATACTTGTGAGCCACCTAACTTTGAGTATCCACCTGTCTGCAAATGCTGTGGCCAGTTAACTGGCTTGCCTCAATTTCCAACGGTGTGGTCTTCCCCTGATGTTTTTGTGAATCAATTGAATCCCGGCCCAATGAATCCATTAAATCCTATAGACGCTGACCCGTCATTGCGGAGACTTCGACCGGCTGGTTTACCTAGCAAAAATTGTCCACCCTTTGATCCCTGCACAGGCAAGGAATTGTGGAACCCAAATCAAATCCAATCAGCACCGCAATTTGCCGGTCCTCAAAATATACCAGCATCATTTCCACTGCCAGGATTGAAGAACCTGTTTGCTCCAAATATGCAGTTCGGATCAGATCCCCAATTGCTCCTAGGCAGAGGCAGCTGTCCACCCTGTCCATCCTGGCCAGAAATACAAAGTACGCCAAAGCAAACCTCATCGGGAATCAGCCTGGGCAAATCGAAGGGAAAAAATAAAAACTCGAGCACTAATACCCTGGGCAAGGCCAAGAACAAAGTCAGAAAAACCAACAGCTATACCCAAGACAAAGGCGTGGACAAAGTCTTATGGCAGCGTGGCAAAAGATCAGCATCCGCAGGCCCGAAGCAAAACGATTGTTGTAATTGCTGTAGTGCGAACAACAAAGGCCCGAATACAGCAAAGAAGACCTCACCTGATTATCCTACGACCAGAAGGGCGCCACCCTCCAAAAGGTTAGTTATATTCATGCTCTCATCACTCTCAATGCCAATGCTTTTGTCTCTTTCTATAGTTCCGGTGATGGCAGAAAGGTCACCAGCTCGCCTTCGGTTGATAAAAATAAGTTCGGCAAGCCCAGCAGCAACAACAACAAGAGCAAACGACAGGGCAACAACGGTGAGGTTCAAGTAGTCAACTGCTGCAATGCGAGCCCTGATCTCATGAATCGGTGAGTTATATGTCAGGCACACACCTATATAGCAGCACTCTCAATTCCACAGCACAGTTCACAACACAACACACACACAAGCTCAGTCAATATCAGTAAAAAAGAAAATCTGAAAAATTACCTTAGCACTCCTACAATGAAATAGCCCCTCTTTGAGGTAACATATTGCTCATGTGTTGTCATTTTATTTGGCAGCATTTGTAACTCGCTGCAAGTTCCGCGTCCACCGGAAAGCTGTTATCTCTTGCTACCAATTACAATGTCCACCAAGGGTAGAGACGAATCCAGGCAAAGTGCCAAAGGTAATAATCAAGGCGCCGAAGAATACAATCCTGCTGCTGGCTATGGCAATAGTAGACCCGAAAATGGACTTCAAAACGAATGCATTCCACGCACTATGCGCACCTGTGCCTGCAATACAGAAATCAGTGGATAGTAAGTTGCAAATCAGAATCCAGTGAGTTACATGTTCATTGATAAAATCCGTGCATAGCTCACAGAACAGGGATCTTGAGGGTGGAGCTGACAATATCGGCGATGATAACAACAATGCCAATGGCTCTGGTTGTGCGTCTGGCTGCTGCCGTTGGCCCCGACGCGCCTGCTACTATAATGCTTATACGGGTCGCTATTGCTGGTATAATAACTGCTGCTGTTCCAATGGCTGCTCCAATGGCTGCTCCAATGGCTGCTGTAGCAATTCCGCCGGTGCTTGCTGTCCCTTGCCAGCCAAGTCTCAGCAGTCGAAGCCAAACTCAAAGAAGGATGGTAATAAATCACCAAAAAAGCAATCAGCGCCCAAAGACTCAAGCAACAAAGACGATCGCTTCATGGGCGGGGATGTAGCGCCATTCCAGCCGGAGGGCGAAGAAGAGGTCAAGGCTTGGATGGGATACAGTCAGTACGTGAACAGCAACACCCCCAGTGGGATTAATTCGTTCATATCGTTTCCGCCCACAAGGCCACCATCTCCGGGCCAAGCCAGTCCTTATATAGCGTCATTAGGGCCAACACTTTCCCAACATTCCCAGCAGCACCAGCAGCAACAACAGGAGCAACAGCCACAATATCGGCAGCGGCGAGCATTTAAAGACTACGGATCTAGGATACCATCAATGATGATGCCATAACCGCAGACGACGGACATTGACTGGGCGCCACTTTAGAGCTTTTAATGTTGACCACTCGATAAATTTGACAGTGAAATAGGTTTAAATATATATATCAGATTCCGTCTGCCATGTTACAGAGCTAGAAACCTATCGATAGCTTTGATAGTTTGACTCGATCATATCAAATATATCGATAGAGTAATATCTCCGTTTTACCAAATTGTATAGTTCCAAAATAAATTGTTTTAAAAACCAAAAGTCCAAGCTGCTCTTACATTTTGAGTTATTTTTTATTAGTTTTAATTTGCATTTATTTTATACACTTTCATATGTGTTTGTTTGTTTGTATATCATATACATAGATCTTATTTAATTTGTGGGCTTTGTAGAAAAACTTAGGTTCATTTAAAGTATTTTATACATAAAATTATTTGTTTGTTCATTTAATTTTTTTTTTTTTAGAGAAACTCCTAACTAAAACTATGAACATAGCACATTTATAATTGTTTGTGTAGTGCAGCCATAAATACGCGTATTTTATAAAGGAATATTTAGATGAACGTTATTATGAGAAAATAAAATATATATTCAAGATTTAAAAAAGACATAAGAACTATGCGAACAAACCTATTCAAAGTTGCCTGCACCTATGAAGCTTAAAAACATAGATTAAACTGAGTTTGGCTTGCATTTTTCCCATAAACGTTAATTGATTATCCGTTTGTTGTCGTGTATTTGTGTGTGTGTGTGTGTATACATTTCTATATATACGTACATATATTTCTATATATAATGTGTGTGTTTATATATTATTGATAAACCTAAAGACTAAATGGGCGTCGAGCGCAGGCGCATTTATAACCTTTAACAAAAATTGTATATATGTCTACATACATATATTTATATATAATATATATAGATATCAAATAAAAAGTTAAACAAAAACTACGTACATATTTCAAACTATTTACATTGGACAATTGTCAGTTAGCCTGTCTATTTAAAATTGTTTCCAAGTCTTTACCTAATATCTTGTTGCACTTGAAATTACTTTTAGCTATATTTGTCTCTATTTATGTTTGCATTTATGGATATATAGAGTACTCGTAGTTCTGCTTTAATCACATGTTGTACGCTCAACGAAAATGGGTTAAATAATTTAAGGAATTATCGACGAATGAATGCTCTTCGCTCTTTGCTCTCTAAGTATTCTCATCGGTTACGTAGATGTAACCATGCTGTTGCAATATACTCAAACGTTTCTCGACGGCATCGCGATCTGAAAGCACATATATTCATAATCAAAATTGAATTCAATGAGGCAAATATAATAAACAAACTCACATTTATTCAATTGCTTCTTATCCTGTGGATGATTGCACTTTTGCACCAAGGAGTGCAACAATATGTGTGCCGTGTTGTAGCGCTCAAAGCAGTTCTTGGTGTTCTTCAGCAACTCGTCCAGGGCCGCCGCCTGGCACTGCAAAGGCAACGAAGAACAGTTAGGATCACACATCTGGTTAATGGGTTGGGGCTCAATAAACTCACCATCTCCAGCGCATAATCGTAGAGTATTTTATCCGCCGTTATGTTAAATGCATTTGCTTTTTGGAGGAGACCGCTGCCATTGAGACGCTTCGACTCGAACAAAATGCTGCGATATTTAGCGTTCATAGTGAGCAGCGCTGCAGTACAGGTGAAAATAGTGAATTAGCCTTAAGCTGAAGTGAATAATTTTGCATTTGTTAGGCTTACCATTCTTAACGTTCGCTGACGGCTTCAACTGTCCATTGCGCAGCTGCTGCGAGGCTAAATTAAGGCCGGACGATAGCAGCTGCAGGGCGCGCACAAGTAACACCAGGCGCTCTGCCCGCTTGCAGTGCTCCGGGGCGTGGGGTGGTATCTGGTTCTGGTCCGTAGCCGTCTGACTGCCGCCAACCATGAGCGTGGAGAGCGGTGCACAGCGTGAATCGGCTACCTCCTGGATGCAATCGGTGAGTGCCACCACAAAGTTCAGCTTGGAGAGGGTTTCGTTGTGCTCGCGATCCATCAGTGTCTCCTCCGAGAGCTCGGGTGCCTGGAATGCATGCGGCTCAGCGCCCGGCCCGCCGACACCGGCCGTATCCAACAGGCTCTGCAAGCCGCCAGTGGCCCCCAGTTCGGGCAGCGTAAAGGCACGCGGTCCCAGCATATGATGTTGATTGTTGTTCTCGGAACCACTGCCCGCAGAACCAATCGAGCCCAGCGATCCTGGAGCAACTAGCAATGTGGGACTGGACAGCGTTGGCAACTTGGTCAGAGCTGCGGACGGAAGCACCGGCGAACTGTTGCCGCTGCGACGCAATGGCGACTGAGAGTGCCCGGGCGACACCTGCCACGTACTCGGCGCATGCGCTGGCGGTGTCTCTGACAGAGAGCCACCAGACGCGGAGCGCACTCTGGTTGGCGGTGTGCCAATTGCGAATTGCACCGCCGGCGGCGAAATCGAATTGATGTCGCTGCTCACACTGCTCTTCCGCTGATCGGCACGCGGCTGCTTGACACTGATTGGCTGAGAGCGAGGAATCTGATGCCCGCCAGCCGCCAAAGTGGCCACAGTCAGCGGCATTCCGCCCTGCCTGCCCGGAGAGCCAGCGGCACCGCCAGCATTAGGCAGCTGTCGTCGCGCCGGTGCCGGCACAGGCTTCGGCTCCGAGATGGGCAAGCTGCTGGGACGCGGCGGACTGGACTGATTTTGGGTAGGCTGCTGCTGCTGTCGTGGCTGAGTGGCCGCTGTATGGCCCTGACTCTGGCGCTGATCCTCGGGCAGATTCTTCGACACCAACACAAAGTCATCCGAGTCCTCATGAGAACTGCAGGAAGCACTGTTATTCTCGCTGTCGCACAGCACACCCACATTGGTAATGGTGGCGCAAATAGCAGGATTAGCTACCACAGAGACTGTAAGAGGTAAAACTTATAGATTAGATATCGTTCAACGACAGTTAGACTTTGCAGTCAGCGTACCGGTATTCTCCTCCTCCAGAGCAGCCTCCTGCTCCTCGCGCTCCTTCTGCTGCTGCTCGGCCTGTTTCACCAGCTGCAGCTCCTGTTCCATCTGCTGCTGCAACGGACTCTTGGCCTTCACGGGCGGGGTGCCACTGGACAGCGGTGGCATATCAACTGTTCCATAACGTAAAGTTAATGAGCATTCGATGCCAATTTATTCAAGTATAATGACTCTACCTGGTGACACGGGTGGCTTCTTGCCCTGCAGGAAAGGATGCACAAAGAAGCTCTCATAGGATATACGATCCTTGGAATTACGGCGCAGCAGAGACAACAGCAAATCACGTAGATCCGGGGACACACCATGCGGTATTCTAAAAATGTATCAAACATGGCGTTAATTTTCTTAATTTACACTTGATTTCTTATAATGTGTGAATTCCCATAATCCAATTAATCAATTAACAAATTAATTATTTAGTTATGCTATGTGATTTTAAAGGCATTGATGTAAATAACTGTTGATATCAAATCTCACTCACTTGGGTGCCAGATTCGCGTTCTGCTCGTAGTAGAACTTTAGCTCGTTGGGCGTTTGAGCATAGAATGGAGCCTTGCCTGTCAGGCACTGGTAGACGATGGTGCCCAGCGACCAGAGGTCGGCCTTTGCATCGTATTGCAGTGACATAATCACTTCCGGCGCCTAGCATTACAGATGTATTTATATGATTATAATGAAAATGTAACTAACGGACATTAAATGCTCACCATGTACATGGGCGAACCGCACAGCGTGGCTGCCATGACGCCCTCGTTCAAGAAACGCGCAAAGCCAAAATCAGCTGTGGGAAAATTGAAAGAAATAATGTACTATTAGTAAACAATAATATATATAATAATAAGATTAAATATAATAATGAAAAGATTAGCAAAAATAAATCATCAAATGATTTTAAAGCTTGTTAACAAAAATAGTTATAATAATAAAGAAAACTTTAATTTAAAAAATATTAGAGTAAAGTTTAAAAAATATAAAAAAACAGAAGACTATAAATATTAATAAAAATTAAATTGAAAAACTTCATTGTAGATTTTTAAAAATTTTTATTGGCCGTTGTTATCTTAAATTAAGTTTAGAAACTACTGCAATGTTTTGATTTCAATTATTTATTTTCTCAGACTACTCTCGCTTTATTTTCAATCGAATTTTGCCACAATATTCTATAATTAATATCTATAACTTACCAATTTTCAATGTAATTTTGGATGGTGCTGGCAAGGTCTTGCCATAGTTGTGCGATAACAGAATGTTTTGTGGTTTGAGATCACGATGCACAATTCCTTTGGTATAAAGTGCTTTCATGGCACCAGCTGGATATGAAGAATAAATCAGGTCAGCAATCATATCAGAATATAAAGTCAGAATTAAAAGTCACTTACCTAGTTGTATAAGAAACAGCCTGACAGTATCCTCGCTTAGTGTGCCCTTCACACTCAGATAATCCGCCAAATCGCCGCCATTGCAATACTGGAAGAGAGAATCAAAAGGAGAAATTAGCGAGAAAGAATACAAGATGACTTTAAAGATATATAAACAAAAAACTTAAGAAAACATTATTATTATTTATCATATTCAAAACATTCTTGTGATTTATTTTTAAAGTGATGTATCAGAGTCAGCCATCATACAAGCTAGACATTGGGCTGCAAAGCCAGAATGTAAGCCAGCTTGTTGTTGGGCATTTGTGGTAAGTGCACAATTGGCAGAAAAACGTATTTGGCAGCACGCAAACCCACGACCAAATTCAATTAGGCAAAGGCCTGTCAAAGGTATAAAAGACGCTGTGGCACGCACAGACCACAAGCCACAAATTGCAATCGCGCCATGGTGGACGCTGTGGGGGCGCCGCTGTGCAATGCCAGCGTGAGTCCTGTTCTAAGGCCGGAGGCACGGATCTCGGGCAACGGTGATCTGCAGTTCTTGGGCTGGAATGTGCCGCCGGATCAGATACAGTACATACCGGAGCATTGGCTCACCCAGCTAGAGCCGCCGGCCTCAATGCACTACATGCTCGGCATCTTCTACATCTTTCTCTTCTGCGCCTCGACCGTGGGCAACGGCATGGTCATCTGGATCTTTTCGACATCGAAGTCGTTGCGCACGCCCTCCAACATGTTTGTGCTGAATCTGGCCGTCTTTGACCTTATAATGTGCCTGAAAGCGCCCATCTTCATCTACAACAGTTTCCACCGAGGCTTCGCCCTGGGCAACACGGGCTGCCAGATCTTTGCGGCCATCGGCTCGTACTCGGGCATTGGTGCCGGAATGACCAATGCGGCTATTGGCTACGATCGCTTCAATGTCATCACGAAGCCCATGAATCGCAACATGACCTTCACCAAGGCGATTGTCATGAACATAATCATATGGCTCTACTGCACTCCGTGGGTTGTTCTGCCGCTCACCCAGTTCTGGGACCGATTCGTGCCGGAGGGCTATCTGACGTCCTGTTCCTTCGATTACCTAACGGATAACTTTGACACACGCCTCTTTGTGGGCACCATTTTCGTCTTCAGCTTCGTGTGCCCCACCCTGATGATAATCTACTACTACAGCCAGATCGTTGGGCATGTGTTTAGCCATGAGCAGGCGTTGCGCGACCAG